GTTACTAGGGGCGATTTGCACATTTAAATTAATATAAGTTTTAATCATATGTTATTATGTATATATGGAAGGATTTTTTAAATAAAAACACATGGAAATTGTATATATAATTGCATTATTTATTAACAAACCTTTTATTTTTTTTTACAATCATATTTTACAAAATCATTCGTCGATTTTAGGGATCGCATAATGTCCCCACGGTAGAGTGTCAGTACTCCCCGGTAACAAATATCGTTTGTCGTCTTGCGGACTTAAGGCTACTTTTATCTGTTTTACAGTTTCGACATTGTGTAACCGCGATCTAATGTTATATTGCGTTCGAGTTTGAATGTCAAAATCTCTCAGACATTTTACATAATCATCAAAGTGAATACTCTTTTTAACAACGCCGGATTTAATGCCTTTAGCTTTTTTAATAAAATCTTGACCTTCAACTCGTACGCTGTACATCTTACTCCGCAAGCCAACAAATTCGGTAACGATCTTGCCGTTACATTCGTCTTTCATTAGACCGAGAATCTTTTTATTGGCTTGCGGAATGCCGTACACGTTGTTTGCGGGATAGTCTGACGTATCGAACTTTTGGATGTCATTTTTCATATCATTGTAGACATCTTTACATTTAATTTCATAGATTAGACTGTCTGTATCGGTATACATCAGTTTACAATTGTCCCCGTATTTTTTTAACATATACCCGTAGTGAAAATCGTAGACTAGCGTTTTGGAAACATCGAGCACACTTAACCCCACATAGATTGGTTTGTTGAGTAGTACCTCGGTTTTACGCAGTTCAATGGCAACCAGATTTTCGTCGAATATTGCTCGACTATGGAAATTGGGGCGAGAAATAAGGGCTTCAGCTCTATAGCGGCCAAACCATTGGGTGACAAGCTTAATGTCGACATGTTTACGGACATTTTCCATTGTTTTGCCGTACACAGCGTTGTTCATGAGCTTGAACAAATTTTTCTCGAACTCATTTTTGGCATTGGTTCGCATCATTGTATTATAGTCTATGTATGGTTTAAGCCATGTTGATTGCTTAAACAGTAAGACTCGATGAATTTTAACAAGCTTAATGCCGTTGGCGACAACTTGTTTTAAAGTGCGGTAGTGGATCACATATTTTTCTTTGGGTAGGAGAGTTGTTAATAATTTCTCCTGTTTCGAGAGGGGGGGTTTTGCATTTTCTGCACAAAATGGCATGTCTTTGTGAGTATCGTGGAGATTTTCAGGATACTCCAAATCAACTTCGAGTATGTATCCAACAGGTGAATCGTCGGATACATTAAAATTGAAAGAGTTGTCGACATTTTCAACCCATTTGAAGCAGCCATAAGGGAGCGCTTGAGCCATTGCCCAGCCATATAAGACGGGTTCCACGTCAAGTGACCCAGGTCAAAAATTTACATGGAATATTTGAAAAATTTGTAGTTTCTGTAAAACAAAACGAAAATACGTTTTCTATTTTGGGTTTTGCTGCTGTTTTTCAACACTTTCTAATAGTGTGAACAAATGTAGAGAAAAAAAATTGTTTGACCTTGAAAAATTAAATTAAAAAATAAAATTTCATTTTTTTATCAAATGGGCAGTTTTTATTTTTTTAAAAAAAATTTTATCATAAAGGTGAGGTTTTTTCCTAAAAAAATGTATAGGTCAAAACGTGGGACAAGAACTTTTAACTGGTCAAATTAAGCATTTACTTCTGCCGTGCACCGTCCCACAGTGGAATTTTTTTTACAATTTACTATTAAAAAATGTCTATAGCTTACAATTTTTAACCGATTTGAGTGTTCTTTGTCTTAAGTTAAAGGGGAATAAATTCTTAAGACATCCTTCGAGGCCGATTTTGGAGATTATAATTATTTATAATTTTTTTTAAATCAAAGTTAACAAATTAATACACTTTTTCAAAAAAGGAGGTTTATTTTCTTATTCCGTTGATGCACATGATCTAAATAAATTTAAATTCATCGAATATGACCACAAGATAATTAATAAAGCAAAAAATAATCTATTTCAATTGTTATAAACAATATATAGCCCAACAACGAGCAGGGGCGGTGGATTGCAGAAGTAAATGTTTATTTTGACCAGTTAAAAGTTCTTGTCCCACGTTTTGACCTATACATTTTTTTTAGGAAAAAACCTCACCTTTATGATAAAAATTTTTTTTTAAAAATAAAAACTGTCCATTTGATGAAAAAATGAAATTTTATTTTTTAATTTAATTTTTCAAGGTCAAACATTTTTTTTCTCTACATTTGTTTACACCATTAGAAAGTGTTGAAAAACAGCAGCAAAACCCAAAATAGAAAACGTATTTTCGTTTTGTTTTAAAGAAACTACAAATTTTTCAAATATTCCATGTTAGACCAAAAATTTAAACTTTGACCCCCTCCAGTTTTTATATTTGTTTAAATAAATTAATAATATTTGGTATTTTTAATTGTATCTAATAGGACTACTGTTTCTGCAAAATTTTTACCTGATCCCAAATATTTAAAATTTTGACCTGGGTCACTTAACGTGGAACCCGTCATAAATTGTTGGCGTCAAAGTACATGATGTAGCTTGTATCTTTGCTATCATCGAAATTTTCCATATATCTATTATTCGCTATAGTATATCGGTTGCAGCATTGACTTATGCCACCTCTAATACCAGACTCAACAAACATAATCATATCGATATCGGTTATTAGTTGCAATCCTATGCTCGTGTACTTGAGCATAGCATCCCAAGTTAAACCGGGGGTCGTATAATAGTGAGCAGGATCTAACCCGTACGCTTTATCACATTCTTTTCGAAAATTTTCAAAGACATCCGCAAGTAACAATACATCTGTTTTCATGTATAAATGTACATAGTCGTAGAGATTCTGACAGTCAAACTCGGTCCATACATTCTGCGCATGCGCATACTCATCATCAGAAATACCAGCGTCATACAGAGTACTATAAAATTTCTCAATCGGGGGCAATTCTGTCTCATCTAACTTACTTTTCGAGTCAAAGTACTCATAGGGGAATACACCCTTGCGCGTCAATAATTTAATTTTATCCGGATCTGTCACCGTACTGGCAAAAACGGAGTTGACGATTTTGTACTCGTCTAGGTACGATGCGAGTTTCTCTAGGGATGCTGCCATGAATCGCAATGAGTCAATGAATCGAAATTTGACCTCACTCCCCTTGATATGTTTAGTAAAAGAGATATACTTCTCTTTGTTAATGGGGAGGAGGTCAATTTTCCCTTCAAAGCTCGTAGAAATCGCGTGTATTATAAAATGGGCGTCATAGCCACTTAGGTTGTGAAATACTACGGGGATCGTTTGACAATCTTGATAGTTTAGATTGCACGATTCATGGGCAGCACCCCTTTATTTGCCAGTAAGGTGACAGTGATCACGGACTTTCTTTTCGCTTGCCGGTATTTTCTCATTACAAATGTGACATATTGTCGCTCGCTTGAAGTCACTGATTTCTTGAGGAGTTAAGGCATTCATTGGTATCGGATTTTTAAATACATTATCAATTTTTTCAGATAATTGCCTTAATTCCTCAGTAAACCATTTGGCAGGGTCGGATTCATTTTTCGGACATGGTACATATTTACATAATGATTCATCGTAGCTGCATTTTATGTAATAGCCGATGCTTAACAATTTGTGGCGCTGGAATACTTCGGTTTTACTTAAATTGTCTACATCTTCATTGGCGGGAAGAAGTAGACTTTCGCAGTCGGCGTAAATTACATACGGTACCTTCTCTTTATTCTTATAATTTTTAAATGTGATCAGACTATCTTTCGGTTTCGGTAATTTAATTTTACACTCATTCACTTTTTTACAATTCTCAATGTGTACATTCAGTTTTTCTAACGAATTGAAATAGTGTAGGCAACGGTCGCAAATATGTTTTTTACCTTTATAATTTGACAATTGTTTATACAGAAGCGCAGATAAACTTTTTATCCATACATAATGGAAGTTCATAAAACCATCATCGTCATGCAATACATTATTGTCAACACTTTCATCCGCATACATGTCAGCAACATACAAGAGATTTACATGCTTATCTCTTTTTTCCGCAGTGAGATGGAGAGGATGTGTTGAGAAGTCCCCATAGTATTTTGATAAACCATAGACATTAATTGAAATATCATTTAATTTTTCAAATTTCGAGATGTTTTTAAGCGTCACTGGAAATTCAATTCCGTCAAAGTTCAATTCATTTTTAAATTCTTTATAACTGGTAACGCGCTCAGGATGTGATACATTTGAATGTAAAGCAGAAAGTATGGCCCATTTAAAGCACTCTTTATCTGCATTTTCAACATTAATACATGCATGCTTGTTTTTAATTTGTGGAGGTAAACTAATGTAAGAGCTCGCACGCATCGGATTATACTTATTTACATTGATTTCAAGCTTTATAATTGACTGTAGATTCCAATTTGAACCTTTGGCGTAAAACTCTTCAACACTATGTAGAATCGGCTGTTTAATGTACTGCTCGAACCAATCATCTAAAAGGGTCGTAGGGAAGATGTTGTTGGCCTTGGTTCCAAAAGGAATCGGCTTTACAACTTCTTCGTCATTCTCCACCCTCTTGAAGTTTGCGATGAGTACGCCGTACACGACGATGGGTCCATTCTTATTTAAAGCACCTCTAATATGGTCTTGAAACAGTGTGGACCCATCGTCTAAAAACGCGCTTATATCAATGTGTACAAGATTTAGAATCACATTAGTGTACAGTCTACACGCAAACGCACTCTCACATTCTTCCCAGCGCACACGTTTATTTATATCTGGATCACCGATTCCAGCGCCATCTACAATATGGGACTCAAATAATGCGCGAAGTCTAATGATGGATTGTAGAATGCTCACACATCTTTTCTTTTGATGTGTAAAGTACATCGACTTGAGAATGCTCGATAACAAGTTTTCATGTTGTGAGCATTCTACAACCCATCGTTCGATAAAAGAGCGTCTCTCATTTACGTTACTTAAATAAGGTATCAACTCAAGGGCTTCTTTAATGAGAGTGACAGTGATGTCACTCTCGTCGAGAATAGTACCGTAATTCGGATACTTACGTGGTGGTCCATCGGTGGTCGTCGCCTTCCGCTTCATCTCTGCACCTGAAATTACACTTACAAACTAACAAAAAAGAATAAAGAACACACTTACAAGCTAACAAAAGAACACACTTACAAACTAAAAAAAGAACACACTTACAAACTAACAAAAGAATGAACTTACAAACTAAAATACTTATACTAAACAAAACGAACTTACAAACTAAAGAACTTAACCTACAAACCAATACAAAGTAAATGCAATAAACACAGTAAATGTAACAAAAAAGACAGTAAATATAACAAAAAAGACAGTAAATATAACAAAAAAGACAATTAGTAATGGCAAGGGGAATCTGCTGATGCTGCTGCTGCTGTTGGAACCGCTGAATCTGTGAACAGAACAGCTACTGACTAAACTCGCCAAAATCCCTGAATATATACCCCGAAATCCCCACTCCTACCTTTCACGCATGCGCACTAGACCATTTACCCTCACTCCAACCTATCACGCATCCCTACTCTTAAATTTTCCCCCACCTATTCACGCATGCGCAACACTCTTACTCTAACGCAGTCGTAACAATTTCTATACAGGATACGCAAAATAAATATACTAATTTACAAAAAAATAAAAAATTTATTGATTATTAAAAATAAAATTCAGAGTTAAATTTAAAGTTACGCGCCGCCGTCGATGGCAGCGACGCCGACCGTGAGCGGGCGGTGGCTGCGCCTCTGGTGGAGGTCCCGCCGGCTCTCTCTCCTCTACCCTGGGCTCGGGAGACTGCGCCCTGGGTATCGGTGACCTACACCGTGGTGGACTTCCGGGCGGGGTTGTAGGCAGCCATTCCACCGGTGTAGGCGACCTGGGTGGAGTCCCCAACTGAATGAAGGGTGGGGGAGACTCCGGTTCCATCCTGGGTTGAGGTGGTGTCGGCGGTCGTTCCACCAACGCCCAGGGTAGTGAATATGGCCGCCACATAGGGTACATGGCGTGCAGCGGTGACAGCTCTGGCGACGGAGGTGGCGTCCCCAGTTCCACATAGGATGGCTCCCTTGGTGGAGATCCTGGTGGTGTTGTCGGGAATGGCACCTCATTCCGTTCATTCTGTAACTGAAAAACATATTATATTATATTATATTATATTATATTATATTATATTATATTATAGTATACTCACGTTGTACTCGGACACCATCCTCACGAGGCAGTGGTAGCACCGGCAGCTCTCCATCGTCGACCGCTCTATGCCTCTCCGCGATCTGGAATGAGCTCTCTACTGCGTGCTAGTCACCCTCGTAGGTCTCTCTCCCCGCCAAGCGGTTCCCCCACTACGCGCGCTCACCACTCTGCTGCGTGTGGCGGTTGACTTGAACTACTGTGAGCTCACCGCCGGCAACGAGCTCACCGCTGATATCAAGCTCACCGCCGGTAACGCGCGAAATTCAATTTGAATTCAAATCGCTTATTGTAGTTTTAAGTAATAATTTCACTTACCTTAATTATACATTGTTTATAATTAATAAAATAATTATAATAGTAATAATTAATAAACAAAAAAATTAACTACACTTACCTTAATTAAATAAATAGTTTTTAAATAAATATTAATAATAAACAATTTATAATTAATCAAATATTGTTAATAATATTAATAAACATGAAAGTTAATTTATTTACAGTAAATTAATATAATAAATAAATAAATAAATAAATTAACTAAACTTACCTTAATTAAATAAATAGTTTTTAAATAAATATTAATAATAAACAATTTATAATTAATATTTTTTAAGCAATAATTTTTTATATAATAAATAAATATTTACAATTAATATTTTTTCTATATAATAAACAAATATTTACAATTGAAATTTTTTAAACAAACAGAAATGTATTAATCATTAATTAAAATTTAGTGGCGCCATCTATCGGCGGCAGCCGGAACTAAAAAAATCGGTCGGTAAAACAGAGAACCCCTTCTAAGCCACTTGAAAGTTTGAAATTAAATTTTTAAATTTCCCGCCAAGGGGTTTGGAATTTGCAAGTGGCGCCATCTAGCGGTGGCAGCCGGAACTAACTCGGTCAGTAAGGTAGAGCGCACCCTACCAACCACTGATAATGTAGGAATCTGCATTACCGACCGAGGGTACTTAGCCGAGATCAGAACCTGGAGCAGTACCCCTATAGCTATACTACTAATATAAAACACAATTGCTCAAAGGCTCAAAGCTCTTATTGTGAAGGCCAAAATAAACACAAACTGTGACAATTTTTTGCGAGGAACGGCTGTGACTTAGCGATGCATTATTTTTCTAAGCAAAGATACATTCTTGAACTTTTAAAACATATATTTCATTTCCAAAAAAATGCAAAATGGCGGCCAATATGGCGCATATAAAAAATGTTTTTTTAAATAGGGAAAACGGTGGTCATTCTACAGTGCGCAATTTTTAGTCTAAAACAAAAACTAAAAATTTCTTATAAAGATGACATCCTAAAGAATAGGTCATACCTATAAAATAGTTAAAAAGTTAACAAAATGGCGGACACATTTTTTAAAAAACTGCGTTTTTGCATTATTTTTCCATATTTGACCTCTTGCAAAAATCTCTATTGTTAACAATTTTATCATATTATAGGTATAACCCTAGAAGAATTTAGTTACCTTTAATTAGCTGCAAACCCGAAGTTGATTGATTAAATAGTTTAGACGCTACGATGCCCACCAGTTTGAAAAATCTTGTTTCGAGAAAAACGCGTCTAAAGTTTGAGAAACATTTTTGTGCAATAATTGTATTCTTTGCAATTATTTGATCAATATGTGTATATGATAAATATCTATAGGTAATTAGGGTCGCTCTTTATGATTCTGACTGACATTTGTTACTCAGTGCCCAGGACGCCGGTGAGTTCAAGACTCCATAAAAACAATTAAAAAAATAAACTTAATAATATAGAAAAAATTATTTCTTTTTTTTGTAGGAAGCCTGTAGCATGATTACGCTGTTGAATCTCGACGAAATGTTTTTGGCCGACGATGACAACGAAGTCAATAAATACTTAATTGAAATTTGAAATCTACCCTGCCTCTTTGACGATTTTCAAAACAATTTAAGCGATCAATCAATTGAAGCAACTCTCTTGCTGGACATCATCTTCGAACGAGAGTGGATCGAATGAGTATCTCCGAAAAGGTTTTCCGTCCATAAATGCTTATCACGAATATTTAAAATCTTTGAACAATGTGCCTCTCGATTGATGGTCCTGATGAGGTCACACCCTACTGTTTGGCAATATGTCAGTAAATAAATAACAAAAATTACTCTAATGATAAAAATAATAGCAATAAAATATTTATTTTTAAAAAATGTTAGCTTGCACATTATTGAACAGGTTGCTCCAGGTCAAGAAAAATAGAATTGGTCAGGGAAAAGTCGAGGATTTTTTTAAAGTACTGAAAAATATTAAATGTTTAAAATTTATAAGAAAATTCTGAATTTTTGTGTCTTTTTGTTTGCCTTGTAGAAATTACCACTGAATCGAAAAACACGACCATTTCAATTGCTTTTATAAATAGCAGAATTCTTTTTCAAAATTCAATTATATTCAATAAATCTAAAAACATATTGTTAACACTTCAATTATATTTATAAAGATCATTGACAATTTACTACTTATTTATAAACGAATAGAAAAATTCTTTGACAAAATTTAATTATTTCCAAGAATTTTAATACCATTAATTGCAAAATTTAATAATTTTTATAAATAATAGTATTCAGCACAAACATTCAATTATTTTCAAAAGTAATAAAAGTAAATTTTCCTTTAATTTTAATAAAATGCAAGGCACTTTTCTTCACATTTTGATTGAATGTTTCTTCGAGTGTGCTTTAAATGTGGTAAGAATTTCAAAAACTTTTGCGATGATAAATTTTTAGATATTCAAGTTTAAACATAAACTTCTACATGGGTCAGAATTCGTGAAATTTTCACAGAAAATAAAAAGTATTTTTTTTAAATCGAAATGTTGAAAAAACATTTCAATTTGGCCTTAAGAATGTGTCCACCAAAAAACAGAAAATAAAATTATTTTTTATAAAAGTTATTGCAAAATTAATTTTTTTGCAACTTTTTAAGCAAAATTTGATTTCTCCTAAATGAATGAACCGATTTAAATGAACCAAGCGAGAATATAAAGGGGATAAAATATACTTTCGTTCAGAATTAAAAAAATTTTAAAAATTTATTTTTTAATAATTATTTAATAAATTTTTTATAAACAATTAATTTTTTTTAATGTTCTACGCCTTTTCAAAATTTGAAAAAAATATTAACATACACTTCAAAATATAAGAAATTAAAATCCGTTGACAAAATTTTGGAGCGACAATTATTTTAAAAGTTATAATGAAAATTATATTGAACGGAGATGCGATTTTGATGATTTTCAGAATAAAAACATTATTTTTAACTACGAAATAAACAAAACACTGTCAAATTAACATTTTTATTCAATTATATAACCATAAAAATTAATAAAAATGATCAAAAAATAATTTCAGCTTTGTTGCTCTACACAGCTCCAATATAATTTCCATTATAACTTTTAAAATAATTGTCGCTCCAAAATTTTCTCAACGGATTTTGATTTCTTACATAGTTTTAAGCGTATGTTAATATTTTTTCAAATTTTTAAAAGGCGTAGAACATTAAAGAAATTAATTGTTTATAAAAAATTTATTAAATAATTATTTAAAAAAAGTTTTTAAAATTTTTCTAATTCTGGACGAAAGTATATTTTATCCTCTTTATATTCCCGCTTGGTTCATTTTAGTCGGTTCATTCGTTTAGGAGAAATCAAATTTTGCTTAAAAAGTTGCAAAAAATTTAATTTTGCAATAACTTTTATAAAAACAGTCTTAAGGCTAAATAGAAATGTTTTTTCAACATTTCGATTTAAAAAAAATACTTTTTATTTTCTGTGAAAATTTCACGAATTCTAACCCACATACTATTTCTATTAAAAGAAAATATATAGAAAATCGTTTTAATATTTTAAAAATTGAGAAATAAAATTTGAATAAAAATATTAATTTTCTGTATAAATATATAATTTGAGAAAACACCAAAATATTAAAAATGAATTTCTTTATTTTATAATAATTTTAGAAAAACTGGTCTCCTTGCAAACTTAATCATATGTAAACTATGTGAAAATTCAGAGTAACGTTACTCAAGACAGCAAATCTCGAAAAATCTAAAATAGAGTGACCGACACTGTTCGAAAAAGAGCATGGGCCAATTTAGTGGATGATAACATTCCACAAAATGAGTACTTAGATATTTGCAGAAATCGTTTTACGGAATCCACACGTGAATTTTTAGCAGCCTTCATGAACTATACTAGCCGCACAAACGGAGGCTGCATGCAACTGATAAACGCTGATAATTTTTCGTAATTTAATTAACCTCTTGACTTTGGATGACGTGTCACCGTACCCTGGAACCAATCTCAATCCTCAACATTCTCCCTTCCAAAGATTCCTGTTGCAACTTGTTAGGGGTACCTCACTGAATATTTTCTGACAAGAAAAATAAAAATCCGTCAGGCGCTTTTTTTTAATTTCAATTTTTGTGTTTTTAGCGCCAAATTTAAAAACACTGGTTTTTATGATCATTTCAAAAAAAATTCAACTTCAACTGGTCAAATTTTGTTCAAGAAATTATACAAAACGATAATACTGGTAGAAATTTTTCCGTAGAATCGGAATCTGACGTTGGCTTTCGAAATTAAAGCAGCGGAATCCCAGACAATCCGAAAAACTGTAAATATTCTAAAAAAATCTCACTGACTTTTTTTTAAATTGTCTGTCAAATTTTATAGAAATAAGGGCAATTTCAAAATTTATCAAATTTTCCCAATAAGTAACAGTTACGTTTTCAAATTTGAAAAACAAAATATTATAAAATGAATATCTTTTTTCAGTAATTAAAATTTTGAATTTAAAAGTTAAGAAAATCTAGGGTCTGTTTACAACGTTTCTACTGATTTTAAATTTTCTGATTTAAATTTTCTTTCAGTTATTAAATGAGAGAAAAGAAAACTATGCAGAGAAACTCCTAAGATCTGTGTGTGACTACAACAGTAATCACATTTAATCGTTTAATCTTGATATTTTTAAATGATGTTATTATTAAAACTATAATTTAAATACTAATTTCGGAAAGTGTGAAACTGTTTATTATTAAAAGTTGTAATAAAAATCAAATAACAGAATTTTCACTATTTATATATTTAATAACTGAAAAA